TCATGAACCACTGTTGGTGTTTGAGCAGCTCCAGTTTTTGTTAGTTTGCGTAAGCTAATGTTTTTGCCTTTTTTAGGAAAAAGCTTGTTTAACACTGTTCACCTCCAGGTGTAAGGGCAGGTTATAGTTCACAGCAGAGCACAGTGTTTTTCCTGTTTCAGCTAGGGCTTGAAAAGATGAGCGACATAATGCACTTTAATCAATGCTGGAAGAGCCCTTGAATGTGTCGAATTATTACAGGGATGGGTTCATTCTTGTGGAAAAACTAAATGTTAGTATTGTTTTAATGGACCATTTGATGCAAATAAATGCAAGTTGTTTATTAATAAGTGTAAGCTCTTCCATTTCTACAAAATGTCATTAGATGTGTATGTTCTCTTATTCTGTCACAGCAGAGTTTCACTTCACAAACTGATGTATAGCACTTTGGTCGTTTTTAGTGCTTTATAAATAAAGTTGGAATGGAATGGAAGTTTCTCACATTGCCCATTCTGGACTGAAATGATTCGTCATCCGTTTCTGGAAACAGATGTTTCCTCTTCTGTAATGAAGTCAAGTAACATGTGACCAAGACAGAAGCTAAAGCAGATTGGGGCTTTCTGATACTGTGTAGGAGGGTATTCCAGGAAGCAGGGTGTTTAATATCACTTTTTTTTTTTTTTTTTTCATTAAAAAAATTGACATTTCAATATCGATCATGGGCCTGCGCTAAGCAAAAGCTTTAAAAGTGGGGGAATTAATGGGCCAAAAAGAAACAAAACACAAGCAAATGCATAAGTAATGTACAGTTGGAGAAAATGAAAAGAGAAAGTGGCACACAGTGACCAGCAGGGCCTCGTCAGGGCCACATCTCCAGAGCCTTGTCAGGTCTCCTCTGTTGGAGGAGGAAACCTTCCAAACCAGATCCCCTCACTGTGTCCAATCCACTGTGTCGTCCTCATGAAGCCACTCAGTGACCTAGAGCTGCAGCCATCAGTCAGTTCACTGATAGAAAATGAACCAGCAGCTATTTAGAAGCAACAGTCACCGACATGTTCTGGTTCCACTTTCTTTAATGTGAGGAGCTGATTCTTTTCTTTGTCAGACATGAGAATCGGCTGAGTCTCTGTGGATCTGCTGGTTGGACATGAGATGTGGAGACGCCACCTTTGGCTCTGGAGAGTCAGTTAATTTGTGAACCAGAAAATAGACTGGTTAAAGGTGAGTGTAAACATGGACAGTGTTTAAACATTTTCCATGGGAGAAGATCAAAACCGCAGTTAGACCCATCCTTACTAAAGTTTTATGACTAGCTGCTGTTTCATGCTTTATTAATGTTTTACTAATGTTCCGTTAGGACCAATGAGTCATCAATGAAATGACAGACATCCATTCAAATATTAAATATGGTGGACTTAGGAGTTGTGTAATAGATAAAAGGTTGTTCTACTAATACTGGATCTCACTGAAAGGGTGTATTTGACTTTTTATTTCTTTAAACAAACTGCAAACAGCCTCGTCCTTTTATTTCATAACTTAAGCAGAGGTTGCCTAAAGGTTAAAGGAAGCAAGCTTCTCACTGGAAGATTGCTGGTTCAATTCCCGGACCAGCAGGATTAAGTCTGGGTGGGACAGGTGGCAGAGCAGCGCCTGTCCCCCTCATTAACACCACAGTGGTGCCCTTGAACAAGACCCCTAACCCCAGGTGTCCCAGTGGCAGCAGGTCAGACCATGGTTGTACTGGGCAGCTTCCAGTGTGAATGTGATCGAAAGTAGACATGGCCTCTCAGAGAACCTGCCCTGATTAAATAAAAATTTGAGTTAAAATGTTTTGCTTATAACAAGTGAAGCATTAATTTGCTGGAGAGTAATGGCACTAACTGTTTACACAACAGTTTCTGCTGTTCTAAGAAGCTTCAGGAAGTTTCTAGAAACTGATGTCACACAGAAGAGAAGAAAGGCAGGTTTGACTTCTCTGTTCTTTAGAATCATTAACAAAACAGTGTGTTACTGGTGTGACTGAGATTGTGAAAAATTATGGCCTATCAGAAGCTATATATACAGTCCCTTGCGAAAGTAATCGGCCCCCTTGAACTTTGCGACCTTTTGCCACATTTCAGGCTTCAAACATAAAGATATAAAACTGTAATTTTTTGTGAAGAATCAACAACAAGTGGGACACAATCATGAAGTGGAACGAAATTTATTGGATATTTCAAACTTTTTTAACAAATAAAAAACTGAAAAATTGGCCGTGCAAAATTATTCAGCCCCCTTAAGTTAATACTTTGTAGCACCACCTTTTGCTGCGATTACAGCTGTAAGTCACTTGGGGTATGTCTCTATCAGTTTTGCACATCAAGAGACTTAAATTTTGCCCATTCCTCCTTGCAAAACAGCTCGAGCTCAGTGAGGTTGGATGGAGAGCATTTGTGAACAGCAGTTTTCAGTTCTTTCCACAGATTCTCGAGTGGATTCAGGTCTGGACTTTGACTTGGCCATTCTAACACCTGGATATGTTTAGTTTTGAACCATTCCATTGTAGATTTTGCTTTATGTTTTGGATCATTGTCTTGTTGGAAGACAAAGCTCCGTCCCAGTCTCAGGTCTTTTGCAGACTCCATCAGGTTTCCTTCCAGAATGGTCCTGTATTTGGCTCCATCCATCTTCCCATCAAGTTTAACCATCTTCCCTGTCCCTGCTGAAGAAAAGCAGGCCCAAACCAGGATGCTGCCACCACCATGTTTGACAATGGGGATGGTGTGTTCAGGGTGATGAGCTGTGTTGCTTTTACGCCAAACATAACGTTTTGCATTGTTGCCAAAAAGTTCGATTTTGGTTTCATCTGACCAGAGCACCTTCTTCCACATGTTTGGTGTGTCTCCCAGGTGGCTTGTGGCAAACTTTAAACGACACTTTTTATGGATATCTTTAAGAAATGGCTTTCTTCTTGCCACTCTTCCATAAAGGCCAGATTTGTGCAGTATACGACTGATTGTTGTCCTATGGACAGAGTCTCCCACCTCAGCTGTAGATCTCTGCAGTTCATCCAGAGTGATCATGGGCCTCTTGGCTGCATCTCTGATCAGTCTTCTCCTTGTATGAGCTGAAAGTTTAGAGGGACGGCCAGGTCTTGGTAGATTTGCAGTGGTCTGATACTCCTTCCATTTCAATATTATCGCTTGCACAGTGCTCCTTGGGATGTTTAAAGCTTGGGAAATCTTTTTGTATCCAAATCCGGCTTTAAACTTCTCCACAACAGTATCTCGGACCTGCCTGGTGTGTTCCTTGTTCTTCATGATGCTCTCTGCGCTTTAAACAGACCTCTGAGACTATCACAGTGCAGGTGCATTTATACGGAGACTTGATTACACACAGGTGGATTCTATTTATCATCATTAGTCATTTAGGTCAACATTGGATCATTCAGAGATCCTCACTGAACTTCTGGAGAGAGTTTGCTGCACTGAAAGTAAAGGGGCTGAATAATTTTGCACGCCCAATTATTCAGTTTTTTATTTGTTAAAAAAGTTTGAAATATCCAATAAATTTCATTCCACTTCATGATTGTGTCCCACTTGTTGTTGATTCTTCACAAAAAATTACAGTTTTATATCTTTATGTTTGAAGCCTGAAATGTGGCAAAAGGTCGCAAAGTTCAAGGGGGCCGAATACTTTCGCAAGGCACTGTAAAAATTACTGCAGGTAGTGCAATGTAGGCCTAACTTCACAAAGGTTTATTCAGCTACTGTACAATGCTGACAAAATACTAAAGTACAGCTAAAGCTTATATATGTAAGGCTCCTGACAAAGGATCTCCCAGTTCTCCCAGGTCATTTTTCACAGAAACACCTTTTTATATTACAGTCCACACCAACAACACAGTAGTTTTGGAAAATAACTAAGTACATTTACTGGATCTCTGAATGATCCAATGTTGACCTAAATGACTAATGATGATAAATAGAATCCACCTGTGTGTAATCAAGTCTCCGTATAAATGCACCTGCACTGTGATAGTCTCAGAGGTCCGTTTAAAGCGCAGAGAGCATCATGAAGAACAAGGAACACACCAGGCAGGTCTGAGATACTGTTGTGGAGAAGTTTAAAGCTGGATTTGGATACAAAAAGATTTTCCAAGCTTTAAACATCCCAAGGAGCACTGTGCAAGTGATAATATTGAAATGGAAGGAGTATCAGACCACTGCAAATCTACCAAGACCTGGCCGTCCCTCTAAACTTTCAGCTCATACAAGGAGAAGACTGATCAGAGATGCAGCCAAGAGGCCCATGATCACTCTGGATGAACTGCAGAGATCTACAGCTGAGGTGGGAGACTCTGTCCATAGGACAACAATCAGTCGTATACTGCACAAATCTGGCCTTTATGGAAGAGTGGCAAGAAGAAAGCCATTTCTTAAAGATATCCATAAAAAGTGTTGTTTAAAGTTTGCCACAAGCCACCTGGGAGACACACCAAACATGTGGAAGAAGGTGCTCTGGTCAGATGAAACCAAAATCGAACTTTTTGGCAACAATGCAAAACGTTATGTTTGGCGTAAAAGCAACACAGCTCATCACCCTGAACACACTATCCCCACTGTCAAACATGGTGGTGGCAGCATCATGGTTTGGGGCTGCTTTTCTTCAGCAGGGACAGGGAAGATGGTTCAAATTGATGGGAAGATGGATGGAGCCAAATACAGGACCATTCTGGAAGGAAACCTGATGGAGTCTGCAAAAGACCTGAGACTGGGACGGAGATTTGTCTTCCAACAAGACAATGATCCAAAACATAAAGCAAAATCTACAATGGAATGGTTCACAAATAAACATATCCAGGTGTTAGAATGGCCAAGTCAAAGTCCAGACCTGAATCCAATCGAGAATCTGTGGAAAGAACTGAAAACTGCTGTTCACAAATGCTCTCCATCCAACCTCACTGAGCTCGAGCTGTTTTGCAAGGAGGCATGGGCAAAAATTTCAGTCTCTCGATGTGCAAAACTGATAGAGACATACCCCAAGCGATTTACAGCTGTAATCGCAGCAAAAGGTGGCGCTACAACGTATTAACTTAAGGGGGTTGAATAATTTTGCACGCCCAATTTTTCAGTTTTTTATTTGTTAAAAACGTTTGAAATATCCAATAAATTTCGTTCCACTTCATGATTGTGTCCCACTTGTTGTTGATTCTTCACAAAAAATTACAGTTTTATATCTTTATGTTTGAAGCCTGAAATGTGGCAAAAGGTCGCAAAGTTCAAGGGGGCCGAATACTTTCGCAAGGCACTGTATTTACACATATATATATATATAAATTCAATTTTGTGTTTATAAACATTACTGATGCAAACAATCAGACCAGATTATTGGATTACACCTTTGGGTTTCTAAAGAATCATTATACTATGTTTATTTTGCAGTCGGCTGTGGTAATACTTGTGGAAACTCATCTACTAAAGGGCGGCAGATGAAACATGATTTCTGTGCAGTTTTATTTGGTTGTCTTTATTATGAAATACAGTAATATAGGGATCCTTTCTCAGTGTGTAGTCAGAGTAGGACAATAAATCCACAAGGGAAGGAGGCCACTGAGCCTACAGATGTACTGGGACCAGATCTCACTGATCCTGAGCAATATGTGGAACCAGTGTTGGAGTGTTACTAAGTACATTTAATTAAGTACTGTACTTAAGTACAAATTTGAGATGCTTGTACTTCACTTGTGTATTTCCTTTCCATGACACTTTGTACTTCTACTCCATTACTACAGAGAGTGAAATATTGTACGTTTTACTAGGTACTAGGTACTATTAGATACTGTAGTAGTTACTTTAAAAATGGGATATATTGTATACAAAGCAGAGGATGAGGTAATAAAATGTAATGCTTAGTTATAATAAAACTATAACGGAATAGGCTATTTTCACAGTGTGGTTGTCCTGCGATTTCAGTTGTTCCTCCATCACTCTGTAGATCTAATGGAACAAAACAACACAGGAGATATTCTAATGGGATGGTATTAAATACTCAACAGTAAATAGTGTCGTCATATAACAGTAGTTGAAGTAGGATTACTGACTTTTTCGGCAAGGTTTAAATAGCAAAGTTTGTCCTAAGCGGCTTCCGTTTTTAGAAAAATGGCGACACCGGGAGAGGCAAAGTAGAACCAGACAAAAATATGTAAAATGCTCATTTTGTACTGTAATTAGCTGTATGGGTGTTTTATAAATGCCACATTTCCTTTCTGTCGTGGTTTAAAAGTATGGTATTTTGTGTGTATTTACCTTACATTCGCCCCACCGTAGCTATGCTGTTAAAACCGCTACCGAAGCTAAACAGTTAGCTAGCAGTTAGCGGCGGTGCTAATTAAAGCTAATAAAATGGTGCAGAACATGTTCCGAACCGGGTTTCTGGTTCGGGCCTCACACACCCTGCTAACCTGGGTCATAACTCTCATGCTCTTCCTGCACAACACCGGTAAGTCAACTGAAACTGGGCCAACCTTTTCCTGTTAACTACCAAAGAGAGGATACAACCTCTTGACAACAGCTCACCTGGGGCTAGTCTCTAACTACTGTACTTAAATACATTTTAAGGTGCTTGTACTTTAGTTGAGCATTTTTGTTTTCTGTTACTATATACTTATGAGCTACTACATTACACTACTTATTACTGCACTACAATGCATTGGTTGACTAAAGATTGAATTCCTCTCTCCAGTGTTTCTATAAGTTAGGGATGCAACTAATGATTCATTTTATTATCGTTTAATATGATTATTGGAATTTTGAATTCAGGACTTTCACTGCTAATAGAGTATTTTTACACAGTGGTATTGCTGCTTTTCTCCCACCACAGATTCTGAAAACTATGTCCAAAATTTGTGAAATGTATTTATTATTGTGAACATGTTTTATGCTGCCTGATTGGCATAATCTCACTTGGAAAAACATTTCATCATAGTGACCTGGTTAAATAAATGAAAAGAAAAGAAACGTTTGGACATGCAGGCTCCCACCAAAGGTGTCTGCTTGTTGCAGGAGATTATATTTGACATTAAAAGGTTCTCCATGGAGTTAGTGTTGCACGTGCATAGACAGATACAGATGATTAAAACTGTACCTGAGTTTTAGTCTTTAGCAGTAGTTAAGATAAAAAACAACAACACTATCATTTATTTTCTATAATGCAACAGCATCTTTATATATTATGAGCGTGGTGTTTGGTTATTCTATTAATATGATGATTCAGCGTTAATGTTGTATTTTCCTGGTCTGAAAGCATATAGTACAGTTAAATACATGACCATATCAGTCAGCCAAAACATATTTGGCTTAAACAGCATAGCTCTGTTCTGTCTGTGTGTGTGCCTGTAGATTTGCGGAAGTGTGAGGAGCGAGGAGAGCTGTTGCTGCCGCTTCTGTTCTTCCTCCTGGTCGTGCTGTCAGTGCTGTTATACTTTTCTGTTTCTTTAATGGACCCTGGCTTCATTCTTACTGACACAGCCAAGGTACAATTACCTAACAAATCCCCATCGCTAATGCCAAGCAGATAGAGGTGTGTATTTTTGGTCCTTTGATGCACCCCAGTGGCTTAGAGCTGATTAATCAGTTAGTTAATCTTTTATATTTAGTTGAATGTGTATCATTAATGTACAGTCCTTGGTGTAATTTATATGATTATGATTTCACTTCCTTGGAGGGACCTGCTTTGGTTTCTTTCTCTAGTAATCCCTTTATTGAAGGTATAAATAATATAGTTCTTCATGTAAAGGTCACAGAGGATGCAGTGTGTGCGTCTGTGTGTGCACGACTGACCCACATTAGTTTGTGTTATACAGGGTGTTCATGGTTCAGATGAGGAAATGGAGGTGATAATTCCCCAGTCCTCCACCCCACGGCTGCGCCGCTGTGGATACTGTCTGCTGCAGGTAACCAGCTGCTGCCAGCTGCCAACGTCATCGGCATCTTACCATGAGATTGTCATGTTATTTAAAAGCCATGAAAACATCTAGCAAGGAGACTTCTAGTTAAGACTCTGTTAGCAAAGTACTATTTACAAAGTGAAAACTGTCACGCATGTGCAGAATTAGCCAGGCCTGTATTTATCTGAAGAAGTACATTTATGCTGCAGTTCAAACTCAGCGTAGGAGCAGAAAAGTTCAGGCTTGTCATGAAAGTGCACATTAAATATTGTGAAACATTTGACAGATAAAACTACAGTGCTCTGGTTTGTACACACTGTTTCAAATAATGTATTAGTCATCATGACTTGTACCGTGTACAGTCAGTCCAGAACACACCCAGATATGTGTGTGCTTATATTCCTGTCTCTGTACTGCAGCAGTGTTCTATTTCTAAAGCGTTGTTGTTAAGACTCATGTCTTTCCTGATCAGTCCCTGCATGTCATCGCGAGTAGACCTGACCTGAGGCCAAGTTCAGCTTTTTAAATACATCTGTCTGTCTCTCTCTTTGTTTTACACAGCAGCCAATGAGAGCGAAGCACTGTCAGACGTGTAAGCACTGTGTCCGCCGCTTTGACCACCACTGCCCCTGGATTGAGAACTGTGTGGGGGAGAGGAACCACCGTTGGTTCATCGTCTACCTGGTGGTGCAGCTGCTGGCGCTGCTGTGGGCTCTGCATGCCGCTCTGTACGTCTGCTCGGCACTGCTCCAACTGATAAACTTGCTAATGCAGCCTCAGTTTCATTTCTCATGAATCAGTGAAAGCTGATCACCTGGAGAGAGTGTCCTCTGTTCTGCAGGTTTATCTCTGCAGCTTTGGGTAGTCAGGTGACAGGAGCTTAAATGTGTTGCTTGAGTGCAGTTTCTAAGTTCAGGTGACCCACAGTGTATTTAAATGTAGGGCTGGCGATCCTGGAAAAACCAGCAAGAGGAAGCTCGATTTTGAAAGTCCCACCCTTTTGTTCTGATTTCTCTCCATGCACTGCCTCACTATTACTTACAGATATCAGGAAAATACCAAGTGATTCTGCTGAGGCCTCAGTTGTCATCGATCATGTGATTGTCAAACCTTGATACTTTCTTAGAGCCTCGGTAGTATTCGTAACATCTTGGATCCGCAAACCTGGTTCTATTCTAAATAACGACTGAATGTGTGTAGATGGATGTTATGTCCTCAGAGCCAATCATAACTTTTAACACAACCATGTGAGTGGTGGTGGTGTGAGTGATGGGTACAGCTGGTATAGACACTTAGCCTGCCAGGCAGTGTTCAGGGCAGAGGAAACCTCACCACCTATTGTATTTGTCCTGAACAGTAGTGTGTCTCTTTCAGGTCTGGCATTTCCTCCAGCGACACATGGGAGCTGTGGTTCAAGATGAACGGGTTCCTGTTGGCGGCGCTGGGCGTCGTCGGGGTTTTCTCTGCAGTGGTGTTGCTGCTGCTGGGCTGCCACCTCTACCTGGTTTCCATCAACTGCACCACCTGGGAGTTCATGTCACGTCACAGGATCTCGTACCTGAAGAACTGTGAAAATGAGGAGAACCCGTTTGACCGAGGAGTCTTGTGCAACCTGTGGGATTTCTTCTGCATCTGCAGGACAGTGATGTGGGAGCAGGTGTACCAGAAGAGCACCTCAAATCCAATCCCAGCTGACAGTGGGTGAGAGGTGGGGTCCACCCTGGACAGATCGCCAGTCTATCACAGGGCTGACACTTAGAGACAGACAACCACATACACCCACACTCACTCCTACGGGCAATTTATAGTTGCCAATCAACCTAAGCTGCGTATCTTTGGTCTGTGGGTCGGCCGGGCTCGAACCCAGAGCCTCCTTGCTGTGTGACAACAACGCTAACCACTGTGTCTGACTCAGACCAAACTTCTCAAATGTATGACTGACTGTTGCCTTGTCGACCTTGTGCATTACATCAGTCCTGCCATATGGCGTTAAAGCCATTTAATGCATATTAATTGATGCCACTGGTGTACGGACCTACGAAGAACACAGTGAGTGTGTGTATTTCCCTTTACTGCAAGAAATGATCAGATTTATGATTAAGGTTCAGTCTGACCAAAGAATAAGTCAACAAGTCTAAGAACTTGACATTCTGCACTAATTTTGATCTTAGTGACTAAAAACCCAATTGGGTTATATGTTGTCTGTAGTTTTTAAATGTGTGTTTTAATCCTCACCCAGTGCCAGCTGGGATTGACCCTCTTCAGGATAAGTAGTAGAGATAATGGTCAAGGTCAAGTGTTTATTGTCATATGCACAGTGAGGAAACGTGTTTCCCTGTACAATGAAATTCTTACTTTGCCGTCCACATGAATGCCACATAATATAAGTGAAATGTAACACAGATTCATAGGTAACACAAAATCTAAGGCACTGTAAAACAGCCGATGAAAGAGGCATAATGAAAAATACAACAAGAACACAATATAATGAAGAGAGAATGTATGCTACCTGGGAGCTGTGTGATGATGAGTGGATGGATCCTCTGCTGTGGAAGAAATATGTCGGTGTTCAGCTACATTCCTACTGACCACAGATCCTTTTCTCACTGCACTATGTCTTAACACGTAGTGAAAGTTAGTTCACAGTCACAGAAAAGCATCAAAAATCAGTACTTTCAGACGGTTGTTGACCAAAGTAAAGCACTGTTCGGAATGATTGAAACGTACTGTAGGTCTGTACTCAGGTCTCGTCACCACTTTTCTCTTCTGCAAATGTTTTTATTGTTGGCTGGTGAGAGTTGACTTTAATGGCTTTTACTGTACATTTAACTTTCCTTTAGTTTGATGTATCTGCTTCATGTGTTTTGTTTTGTTTTTTACTGTTAAAAATGGATTTAACTACGAGATGAAGCCAATATCTTACAAACATGTCTTACTGTATTTGTTCTGTTGGTATTTATTGACAACAAGGGTACATTAAAACACTGATGATATGCATGTTGTTATATAGTAAATCTGTACGGATGACATCCGCAGTCAGGATGCTTCACACATACATAAATATACTACCAACACCTAAGTAACATGTAATATTCAGGACCATAAACGTATCGGCGCCAGCTGGTTGTCTGTCCTCATAAATTCAGAACAATCTCCTGGAATTTAGCTGTAAATTACAGGGATATGTCCAAGAAAAGCATATGCAGTTTTGTGCTAATTACAGACGGGTGACAAATGAAAGGACAAACCTGAATGCCTGACCCCTACAGTGAGAGGATCTGGTGGCTCTGGACACTTTATCTGCTTTGTCCTTTCATTTGTCGCTTGTCTGTATTCCCATGATTGATATTGTGATGTGGGGCTGCTCTGCTGCCTCCGGTCTTGGACAACCGCCACCACCGAGGGGAAAATTAATTCCCAGGAATCTTCCAGGATAATGTCACGGTGGCTGTTCACCAGCTGAAGCTCAGTAGCAGTAGGACAGTGACCTTAAACATGGAATTAAGTGTACCACAGGGCCCAGACTTCCACCCAACAGAGCTGCTGTGGAATGAGCCCAGAGAGCCATTCACACCAGACATCTTGGCATTATGCCTGAGCTGAAGCAGCTCAGTGAGGGAGAACAGTCCAAAACTCCTCCGGAACCTTGCGCAGGTCTGATCTATAGCTGCAGTGAGCTGGTCTGGTGTCAGAGGAGGTTCAGCCACTTATTAAATTGACACCAATCGATGAAGATCAGATCACGTTTTATGACCGGCTAATGCAGAAAAACAGATTATTTCCAAATACATTTTCTTGGTATTTGAGTTGTGATCAAACCGCAATCAACTGCGTTTTCTTAATCCGTATTAATACATCAGCTAATATTACAATAAATGTACCAAGGTACTCCTTGAAGTCCTGTATATGAATGTCGTATAGTTTCCCTCCCACACAGCTCTGCTCAGGCTGACATGTAAAATCAGCTGTGAGTCTGAAAATATCAAAAGTGAGCTGAGTGTACCCTCAAGCTTCATCCCTGCCGCTACTCCTCCTCCTCCTCTCCTTCTGTTGTTGCACTGCCAGTATTAGCGCTCAGTGTCACTGCATATGATTTAGCAAAATTCAAAGAACAGACATTTTCCCACTATTATGGCTATGTTAGATTCTCTATGGCTTCTTTAATGCTGCTAGTGATTACAGGATTTCTAGTGCACGAGTTGAGCATGGTGCCATGCACTTCTACTGTGGTGACAGAAAACAGCTGGTCAGGAGGAGACCGGTGAGGATGTGAGCGTGCACGTCTCCGCTACGACCAAATGATCTGACAAATACATGAAACATTTAACGTGTTTTTAAAAAGTCTTGTAACCAGGAACTGGGTTAGTTTGGTCAAGGCAGTGGGCGGAGCCTGTCACAGTGATGCATAGAAATGGCAGCACATACTGATCTCTGAAGGAGAAATACTGAAAGGGATATAATAAGCAAAGGCCGCAAAGCAGCTGAGTCAGTCTCCAACTCACAGGATGCTTGAAGAGGCTACAACTGGTTATTCTACTGGTACCAAACTGGAAAATGGAATTTATAAGTCTATTAAAAATGGCAATAATGTTTTAACATTTTTAAAAACAGAATTAAGTAAATGTATAATTAATTTGTGTAGTGTTTATGGAGTGGTGCAAAGTAACTACTACATTTACTTAGGTACTGTAAGTACAATTCTGAGGCATCTGTACTTTGAGTATTTCCATCTTCTGCTACTTCACTACATGTCAGAGGCAAAGCTTGTACTTTCTACTGCACTACATGTATTAAGTAAATGTAATACCTTTTCAGAATCAGATCAATAAAACAAAGTACAGTAGAATCAATAGACTTTATTGATCTCTGGTGGGAAAGCAGTATGTAAAGTACTTCATAGTATACAGTAAGTATACACAGTAAGGTAGTTAACATCAGCTCCACCTTTACCAGCTGCAAAATTAAAGTGATGAACACAATGATGCATCAGTCATGATCCAGTAACATACATTAATATGAAATGTGCCATTCTGCATAATTACTACTTTTACTTTTTCTACTTCAAGTATATTTAGATGCTAATACTTTGGTACTTTTATTTATGTAACACTTGGAATGCAGGACCTTTACTTGTTGCAGTATTTCTTCACTGTGGTATTGCTACTTTTACTGAAGTTCTTCCAGCACTGTGTTTATGAGCAAAACTCACTGCTGCTTATAAACATAAAGATGTGGAAGGAAGACGTGATAATGTTATTAAGTCTTCAAGCATCCTGTACCTGCTTCTGTCCAGTCACTTTACCAGATAAAGAAACTAACAGCAGCAGGAGGAGCAAAGGTTTGGCTCCACACTGAGAACAGACAGAGCTACAAGCCTGGGTTGAAACAAAAAACACAAGATGCTGCCGGGTTATTTCACACGCGATCAGATGGCGTTGATGACAGTCAGCATTGTCAGCCATGAAGTGCTGACTGAGCTGCAGAAATGTCCCAGGTGTCTGTTCATTTCATAGTAAAATCAAGACCAGGGTGGGAAACTTTCCTTAAGGTCTAATCAGGTGAAATTACTGTTCCAGAGGATAAAGTGACCACACATGGTGCATCTTAAAGGATTGCTGATCAGTACAAAACAGATAAGTGATAACTGGGACAAGAGGTCAGACCTCTGGCTTTCAAACGTCACATTCTGGCCGAGGATGTGCATCTGAACTAACCAGGGATCCAACTAACCAGTCATTTCTTTTCTTCTTGATGGAAGAGTTTTGGGAAATATTTGCTTTGCTGCTGAGAATTAAATGAAGAGATCAGTGCCACCCTCATGTCTGCTGTCCAGATGTCACCTGTCTGATATGGTATCGATCCTCTCATGTAATCACAGAGTTACATCGATCACACCGAACCCAGACCATCTTCACAGACACAGGTTTTTTAAAGAAGCTGGTGCAACATGTTCCAGTTTTCATTTGTCCCACAGCAGTTTCAGTTCTAATAAATCCCTGGTTTCTCACACAACTTCCTTGCTTTTATCACACGCTATCTGACTGAGCATAGTACCAAGCACTTTTAATGACATTATTGTTTACTGTGATTATTTATGTTAGTGTTTCATGTTTTCATGTAGCCTCGCAGCAAAAGGAACTTCCTCTATTGGGACAACTGAACTCTGATCTTAGACAAAGAAAGCAAATTAGATGGTTTCCCAAGATTGAACTATTCCTTTAATCTGTTCTCTTTGTTGTTGTTGTTTGACTGATCAATTTAATCTATAAACTGTTAAAATTAATTGCGCCCAGTGGCCAGAGTCGTCAAACATATTCATCTAAACAATATGACAAAGGAAGAAAACCCTCATGTTTATGACTGTAATCAGCAAATGTTTAGTATTTGTACTTGATAAATAACTTGTCATTTATGAAAATTGTCACTGATTAATTTTATGCCAATTGACAAATTAATCATCTTAAACAACACTAGACCACAGACTAAAGTTTTATACGGTTCACTCACAGTTAAATAAATATCATTCACTGATCACTTACTGACCCTTTGGAGTTGGCTTATTTGGTTGCCAGTAGTGGGGTTGATGATACATGAAGGATGGTGGTTGGTTACCTGTCGAGGTGACAAACGTCTCAGCCACAACACAAATGTATTTGTGTGTGTGTTGGTCATTTCCCACCCTGGTCCTTCCTGCTCATTTTTCAGCCATGCAGTGCACAGAAGTCGAAGTCTGCAAAGGTTTCCTGCTGCTCAGCAGAGAGGCTGAAGGGCTTTGAGGGAGGCGACAGGGTCGGCTGGAGTCGTGTGAACTCGCTGTCGAAGTTGCTGACATCCATGGACTCTTTGACCGACGGCAGGAATGGCGGTTTCACTTTTTTGGCCAGCAGGGCCTCCCAGTCGATGGCCTGTAAGACAACGTTCCACCAAGTTTTTTTTTTACAGATCGTCTGGGTAACAGTTAGAGGCCTAGTTCACTGTATGAATCAGTAGGCTACATACTGCTGGGGAGCTGGTGAACGTCCCACAGAGGATCAATAAAATCCTGTGATCTTTATTAATCTATAAATGAAGTTATCAGATACATGTAGTGCAGTAGAAAGTACAAGCTTTGTCTCTGCATTCAGTCACTAAGGGCTGAGAGATCAATGATTCAGTGGAATAAATTCACAGCTTTGAGTCAGTCAACGTCTAATCAATACAACTCGTTACTTCATTAGGCTGAATCAAACACAGTGACCACGGATTTTAACAAACTACCCGCAGAGTTTCACAGCTAAGTGTTTCTTCGGAGAGGACGTAAAGTGGCGAGGAGCGACTTACCTCAAAGAACTTCTCTCCTTTGACCTCGGTTGCATCCCTCTCTCCACCTCCGAGCCTTTTCACCGGATTCTTCTTCAGTAGCTGCAGACAGACAGACAACTGCCTGACTGGTACACTGTCACTACACACTACACCAGATCCCTGCTTGATGGTAATTTATTTTTTGTCTGTTTTAATGGTTGTAAACATAATTTAGTGCCTGAAAAACCACTATGCAGAAATGAATTACAGTTAAAATAATAAGTAAAGCCAGTTATCTTTGCCATGTGAGTCTCAGTCAGAAGGGAAGTGTTCAACATTCTCCACAGCATGTTTGCAGTTGAGTGAAAGTGGGGCTTGAGGTCAGTACCTTCTGGATGATGCAGACAGCATCCAGAGGAAGAGACGCTGGATACTGCACGTCATCATTGACAATGCTGTCGAACACCTCCTCCTCATCCTCACCGGGGAACGGAGACTAGCAGGAGAACAGAAGGACGCTGAGTCTTAAACCTGCTATACTTTGAGGCTTTGGATTTGTGACCCCTGTTTAGCTAAACTAGAATCTAGTGTTGCATTTGATTTTAACATTCTGACATTACACAAAAGTACAGATAGTGAAATGTGACAATGAAAAGAAAAAAAAAAACACAACACACACACAACGGCGTTCCACAGGGCTCTGTGCTAGGTTCAGTCCTCTTCAATCCTCTTTTCTCTCTCCTCTATCCACTCACCCCAACCAGTCGAGGCAGAAGGCCGCCCACCAAGAGCCGGGGTCTATTTCTTCCCTGCTGTCACCACGTGCTGCTCAGGGGGGTTTGTTGGGTTTTTCCTCTATTATATTAATAACAGTAAGGTCTAGACCTGACTTTGTAAAGTGTCCTGAGATGACAATTGCTGTGATTTGGCACTATACAATTAAAACTGAATTGAAATATAATTGGTGGAAATGTGCCAACTTCCTTGTTACCCCGTTTATTTTCTTGGGTTTTAAACAATTTCAGGGGTGTAAAATAATATTTTATAAAAGATTAACTTGCATCCCTTTAGGCCATCCTGCATTTGAAATGACATTCTGCCAAAAGTCATATTTGACCTGTGAATCTCAGGCTTTTGCATGTTCTAGTTTGAGTGTTTGAGATTTCTTCTATGAAATAATGACACAGAACGTGATGTTCTATGTGAGTATTAAAACATCTTGAAGCATATTCTCGTCTTCCTCTTTGCTCTTTGGCCCAAAGACAGAGCACACACTACTCCTCAGCTGTAAACCCTTTATCTGTTACATTAAACTCCTTCAGTTCCTCAAATGATATGAACATGGATCTCTACAGGTGTCACTGATAACATGTTTTCCTTCTGCCAACCATTTATCCCATAAACATTTAAAACTTTGCAAATCAGAAACACCCTGTATGTGAAAAACAGAGGAGAAACTCTCCACACAGAGAAGTGATTACATGTTAACAACCTCTCCCACAAGCATCTCGTAGATGAGGACACCCATCCCCCACCAGTCCACAGCTCGGGTGTAGTTGTCATCTGTCAGGACCTCAGGAGCCAGAAACTCAGGGGTCCCACAGAAAGTCGACGTCCGATCTCCATGACCCATCCCTGACAAAAAATTTAAAGCAGAGGAGCCATCACACAGCACCTGAGAAGAGTTTTGACTATTTCGCAAAGCAAAAATCATAAGCCATGAGTATTTCAAGCCTATTTTCACTGGGACCTTCAAAGTTTTCTGCAAACGCCAACTCGCTGCACTGGTTTATATTGTTCTAGATTGTTAATGTTGATGCATCAATGTGCAGCTGCTGGAAGTGGAGCGAGTTTTAAATACGCTATATACAGTACATTTACTAGTTTACTCCAGTGGTTCCCAACCTATGGGTCTGCCCCCTCCAAAGGATCACAACATAAATCTAAGGGGTCATGAGATCATTAATGAGAAAAGGCTAAGTTGTGACTAAATGTTCATTTTCATTATTGTTTTCATTATATAGCTTTTTCTCTAATTATTGCAGTTTTTTGTGAAATGTTGTATCATTCTTCCTCTTCGGAAATTATGATAAATTTACTGTAGACATCTAAGGCAGAAAGGTCGGAAACCACTGGAATACTCTTTAACCTGTATTTGTATTGTATTATATAAGGTTACTGTATGTTTTTAATGTAAAATCTTAATTGGACAAAAGTAACTAGTAACTACAGATGTCAAATAAATATAGTGTAAAGTACAAAGTGGCACAAAATGGAAATACTCGAGTAAAGTACAAGTATCTTAAAACTGTACCTAAGCACAGTACTTAAGTAAAAGTACTTAGTTACTTCCCACCACTCTACTGACAGTGTAATAAATCAATTCACCTTCTTTACAAAGTCCAAAGTCTGTGATTTTCACAAATCCATCTGCGTCCATTAACAGGTTGTCCAGCTTCAGATCTCTGTGTAAAACACACAGTACAAAGTAATTCTTTCTGGAGCTAGAGTACGCCCAGCAACAAAACATCACTGTGGGCGGTGTGACTCACCGGTAGATGATTTTATTTACATGCAGAAACTCTAAACCCAGCAGCACACATGCTGAATAAAACCTGTACACAACAACAGCAACATATTTTAGATTATGAGTCATAATACTGAAGATGATCGTACTTGTGCCACATAACACCTGTAGAAAAAGTGAAAAAACGAAAAACATGCACATTATAATTTGGAATACTCTTTGGATGATCTTACAGTGTAAAAATACAGAGATATAAATGCTCTTCTTCAACCACATACAGCACCAACCTGGTCTGGGCCTCGCTGAAGACATTGTTGTGGATGTGGATCATGAGGTCGCCGCCGGGTAAATACTCCATGACGAAGCAGACGTGGTCGCTGGTCTGGAAGCAGCCGTGGAGGTTGACCAGGAACGGATGTCTGGATGCGCTGATCATCTCAAAAATCCTCTTCTCGCTCATGAGACTGCAGAATAAAACCTCCTTGATCGAATGTCTTGACTATTACAGTTTCTGTTAAGTTTGAACTCATATTTAACTACTATTCAGCCATGTCTCAGACCCTCACATGCACGTTTGCAGCTCTATTTTTTTGTAAATGAGATGAACTGACACTTGTCACGCACCTGTCCACCTCATCACGGGTCACAATGTCTCTCTTCTTCAAGGCTTTGATGGCGTACAGTTTCCCTGTCTTCTTAAACTCTGCCAGCAGGACCTACACAGAAAACTTACACAGCCAATCACCTGATGAAGACGTTCTGCTCAATGATGAGCATAAAGAAAACGTAAAGTGTTACCTTCCCAAAGTGTCCTCTGCCCAGAACTGAAATATATCTGAAATCTTGAATGAGCATCCTTGTGAAAAAAAACAAAGACAGACCATAAAGGCCACGCTTCCTTCTCAACATCTACACTGTGTTAGATAGTGGCTGAGTGAGCATGTGCATGTGTTTGTGTGTGTGTGTGTACTTTAGAGCAGATACGGGTTGATCTTCACTTCCTTCTGTCTTATTTATGGATGACGACTGCAAATATAAACAAAGTTTGGAACATTTTATAACCATGATTCACAGGTACAGTCACACCCCAACGTCAATATGTCTTCAAACACTTCTCTTCTTTTGGAAGAGTTTCTTAAAATGACAGAATTGTATAAGGATGCTGCTGTGATCCTTCACTGAGCAGTAAAATGCAGCCTGCTTTACCAATGTCTTGCAAACAAAATAGTCCCTAGTCATGCTGCCTTATTGCTTATAATTTTAGTGATCTAAGAATTTTGCCTTTTGCTGCTGTTTCGCTCTTTCCAAGGCACAGTGGAACAACCTAAAGAGACAGTGCCACACATTTGTGACATGTCCTTTTGGACAAGTTGATCAGTTTACCAGCTTTTCTTGCAGTGCAGGCACAGTGTGTTCTTCAGCGATGATGGTGGGAGTGTTGTCTCCCTGGTGGAGGCTGGTGGGAGATGGCTGATCCTCAGTGATGCTGAGTCTGATTACTGGAGCCTCACTGTAGACGTACAAAGATTAGTTATAACCTAGCCCCTCACCTGGATTCCACCTGGATCCATCCATCAATTATCTATAGCACTCATCCTGATGAGGGTTGCGGGGAGGCTGGAGCCAATCCCAGCTAACATTGGTAGAGGGAGACAGACACACCCACACTCACTCCTATGGGCGATTTAGTCACCAGTCAACCTAAGCTGCATGTCTTTGGATTGTGGGAGGAAGCCGGAGCGCCCGGAGAAAACCCACGCAGGCACAGGGAGAACATGCAGGATCTGCATAGAAAGGCCCCAGGGCTCAAACCCAGAGCCTTCTTGTTGTGAGCCAACAGTGCTAACCACTGCCCCAACATGCCGCCCCCACCTGGATCCATCAACACTAAAATTATCTTCAGCTTGGCAGCTAATCACAGTAATGCTATGTCAAAAGTTTAACCCAAAGGGAATCAATAACTAGATTATCACTGACCTTAGCAGTGGAATGGTGGTTTGAGGCTCCCTCTCAGGGGGGCATGGGGTGCTGTTGGCCACCAGGTCGGGGGTCGTAGAGAGAGACGTGCTGAACATGGTGAAGGAGCTGTAGCGAGGGAGGATGCTCATCATCAGGTGACCCCACGTGGCAAAGTTCATGTTCATCTGGGCTGCTCGGAGGAAGTTCTTCCCTGAAGGAAATTAACCAGCGGCAGATACAGGAAAGTGAAGGTTACACTGCAGAAACAGTCAACTGTGTGGGTGGCCTGTCTGTACCTCTCTCCTTAGTGAAGATACATCTCTGGCGTCTCAGCTTTGGAAACCGCTCGATGAACGTGTCAATGAATCGAAGCTGAAAAGCCAAATAAAAATACACTTTTTTTGGATATTCACTTGTGCTGATAGCTAAAATAAGAGTTCCTTATTTGTCCAACAACTATGTGATACCTTGTATATATTAACATACTTGTAAATGTTTTGGATGTGTTGCCTTAAAACAGAGTCAAGCAGTGTCATAAAACAAAGAAAATCACATTTAAACATCAACGATATTTACATGTAGCAACAAACAGAAAATTAAAGATTGTTAAAAAGGTAAAAAAGAAAGAAAGTGAAAAACACTGCAGGGCCTTTGCTACCAGGCACCAGGGTGGCCAGTGTGTGTACCTTGGTGTAGAGGAGACCCTGCGGCTCCAGACTTAACCCCTGGTTGTGGCTGGGGTTGTCCATCATCTCCTCCAGTCGCAGGAACTTGACTGCACACATGGCCCTGCAGTCCCGCCAGAACACACCGACCTCCAGCTCTCGAGACTATTGACAATTAGAAAAAAAAAAAGACGGACAGTAACTTGTTAGCAGTTAGGAATTAGTTGCCGTTGGTGTTCTGGTGATACTCAGCTGTATGTCCCTGTGAAAGCAGACCATCCTTCTCAAGTCACTAGATCAATTCTTCAGTCAAACTAAAAACAAAACACCTGTAGACAGGTGAACCACAACACTGTTCATGCTTTGGATACTGTCCTGTACGCTTTCTGTGACTGATGAGTACCTTCAGGTATCAGGGAAACCTGCTGATCACAGACAGAACCAGGGCAGTAAGGGAACAACACACTGTACAACAGCGCCTCCTGCTGGTAGGACTGGCTTCCTACCAGAAGGTGTATGAACAGGGCAGGGAAAAGTATTCTTATCATTTACTTCAGTAAAAGTAGCAATATTACAATGTATAAATACTCCCTTATCAGTAAAAGTATTGCATTCAAAATGATACTTTACTGAAAGTATCATCAACAAAATGTACTTAGGTATCTAAGATAATAATGCAGGTTATGCACAATGGCCTTTTCATACTGCTGTATTCTGTATAAAAACATGCTGAGCCGTTAATCAACTTAAACACAGTCTTATTAACATCATTACTGACAAAACAGGAACAACAGCACTTTACTTGTTCACCTGCAAAACGTCAGCGACGCAGACGCAGGACGACCTCCTACTGCAGACCACCTGCACAGTAACCGATAACTACACCAGTCACGTGAGTAAGAGGGTGACAGAACAATACTTCCCCAGTATAAAGCTACATAAACTGGAAATGCTCGAGTGAGGTACAGGTACTTCAAAATGATTTATTATTTCTGCCAGTGACGAACCTGCTAAAGCCCTGTTTGTGTGTGCACTGTTGTGCTAACACACCTGTGTACTGTTGTCCTGCCTGTGCCCTTGTACCTTCTCTAAGGTCCTGTGGTTGCTGTGTTGTGTGTTGTGTGTGTCAGCACAAACAGTGCTGCCACAGTCTGTAGCTGCTGATGCTGCAGTGCCTCAGTGTCACAATGCCTGTTCATTCATCATACAAGGAGAATGTATCGTCTGTGAACTTGCTTCTTTAACCTTCTATAAGTACCAGAAGGCCAAGGAACAGTATTTTGTTGCATCTGGTCCCTGTACTTTTTTCCTCAGGCTGACACGAGATGATCAGGAGGTAAACACCCAGGAAGGACTGCTTGAATGTGGGCGGTGTGGATCAGAAGAAACAAAGCATGACTCACAGATACTGGAAGCTGGCCTGCAGCACAGGGGCTTTAAACAATGACATATCAGTGGTGGAACTATTGTTTCTCTGCCTAACGAATGTAGCGCTACTCATCAAAGATACTAACCACAGTATCTAGCATTTGTTTTTCGATAGATGTCAGTTTGCTAACAAAGTAAAAGCTGACATTTTCAAATCATATTCCAGATGTTATTAGATTTATCCAGTACCACAAAGCAGGCTCACTTAGAGCAAGGATAGGTTAATGTTGTCTCATGTTAACTATCACACACGCTTGGGCACTTGATCCCCAGGTAACTCAAACAGAGCCAAGCTGAGTAGGATTCAGTTTGTGATACAGACCACTAGAAAAGCTGCTGCCCTGATTTTATGAAACCTGAACATTCTAGCTGGAGTATTACAACAGAAACAAAAGTACAGGTTGGAGTAATGTTTGGCCAGGATATGACTTTTAAATCACACATAAACCAAGTCTGTAGAACTGCTGGGGAGCCCAGGATGCTCTGAGCTCCTCTTCTCTCCTCTCCTGTTTGATCATTGTGTGTGATGTCTTCAGGTGCATCGTCAACTCAAGTTACAAATGAGTTTGTCAATGAGACAAAATTGAGTTTGTCAATGAGACAAAATTGAATGGGTAACTAAATAATATAAGCTCAAAGGTCCATTCTCAAACATTCTTCTTTATCAGCTGGAAAGACACCTGAACCAACAGACTGCGCTGAAGAGGACAGTCACATCTATTATCTACTGTCCTGGGAGTTCCCCAACATTTATGGTAGCTGGCAGGAATCCCACCTGCAGGGACTGATGCCCAGTGGTTCACTCTTATTGATCAGCCTCATCATTTGCTTAACATACCAGGATATATGTATATCCTGTTCCAGATCCTGGTCGCTCCAGTCTGCCTCAGGAACAGTGGTTTTTGTCTGTGGACAGTTTAGTTTGTTGTTATTTCCTGCACATTCTGACAGTAGATGTGTTAGTTTTGTGCTGACAAGGCCAAAGAAAAAAATGTTTGTGTCACAAATTATTGTTCACTTGGGCCCAGTTGCTGACTTCAGCTCAGCATTAAATACAGTTGTTCCACTACAGCTAATAACAAAGCACCTCTCTGTGTAAGAAGACCCCAGTCTGTCAGGGTAGACACCCCCGACAGCTGACACTGGCTGACTGTGCCACACAACACATGTCAAACCACATCACCGAGTTTGCAGATGTCACAACATCGGTGGGACTCATCACTAACAATGATGGATCCTTTTACAGAGCAGAGGTAAAACATCTTGTGGGCTGGTGTGGAGCAATAATCACAGGAGAAGAGGCACCTCTCACACCCTACTGAGTGTTAGTGGCCACAGAGTCACAAGCAGCTTCTTTCCCCAAGCCATCAGACTCCTGAGCAGCCACGCATTAACCTGACACATGCTGAGACACACACCTGTACAAACACTCACAATGAGGCCAGTGCACAGGTCACTTATTTTTATGTATTTATAATTACATTTATTGAACCATGTGTTGGGTCTGAGATGAAACGGCTCACTTTATACCTGTTACAGTATACTGTTGAAGTGATAAAGCCTCTTGTATCTCGTTACACAACATTACACTGAGATGAGGTTAAAGCACTAAAAAGCCAGTAAGTGAACCTTTAAGCTTAAATTCTTTTGCTACACACACTCTTCCCAAAGGTCAGGACCACCAGACAACCAGGATAAGACTCAAAGTGGAAACAACAGTGTATGTATAAATATGTTTGCTGACCGCCTGGCTGATGACTGGACTTACCCGCTCCAGCTGGATGCAGAACGTCTGATCCCAGCTCAGTTTGCCGACGGTTGCCCAGTGTGTCTGGCCAACCGCTCTGCCGTCCAGCCGGAGCACTGCACTGATCTCTGGGGTGAGACAGGAAGTGACATGTCACTGAGACCGACAGAACCAGAAATTCACAGGTCTGATCCTAACAACACCTGAGTGACTTTACTCTCAGTATCTGCAGACACACAGCACAGAGCATCAGCTACATATAAAACGACACTGACTGTGGATCATCCCAGAGAGAATCGAATCTGAAGCTCTCATCTCACCAGCGGCAGTCTGCCCCGCTGAGCTGTGCAGCACAGCAGCCAGCAGTACGTGTACTGTTCTCTGTGCTTTTTTATTTTCTCTGTTCAGTTTTAAGACAATAACAAGTAAATGTCATGGCATTTAGCAAATGACTTTTTGAAATGTTCAAGTGACTTTGAACATCCTGGGCAGATGCTCGGGCGCATCATGGCACAGTGGCCCCCGGGCACAGACATTTAGACTAGGTGTTTGTGCTTTTGGCTTTAAACTCTTTACTTCACTTCAGGAGAGACCTGCACGGGAATTCCTATATGCCTAGACTGTTGATGTTGCTGCTTTGTGCTGTCATGTAATTGTTGCTTTTAATTTGCATTTAATGTTTTTATCTAATTTGCATTCTAATGTTTTATCTATATATGCATTTTTATGTTTTGCCTATCTGTGTGCATTGTGCACTTTCAATTGCCTGTGTGTGTGAAAATGTGCTATATAAATAAACCTGCCTTGCCAAACTGCCCACTCACCTGAAGGTCTGTACGTCCTGTGAGCAGCTGGTGAACTGTCCTCAGAGGGACTCGGGTGGTTTTCCTGTTCCCGGGTTGTCGGAGGTTTCAGTAAATCCTCACATCCAAGTAGCCTGACTTCCAGTTTGCCTGAAAAAACAATGAAGAAAATTGACTTCAACTATTCAACTGTCAGTTTATCATGAGAATGCTCACAAAATAAACAGTGCTGCTCTTAAGCCTAAAAATAACTCTACGATTTGGTTGTACCTGACAGTGTGTAACCACGTTTCTGGTGCCTGGTAATAAATCACAACCAGAATAAACTCTGCATTTGGAAATAAAACTTTCTGTCTGTCAGCATGAATAAATCTCTCAGACTCAGGCCTCTAATCAGTGGTGCCTGGAGCTGCACACCGAGCTTTCACAGCAGCTGTGGAGCAGAAAATCACCCCGAGTGTGTCACTGCTCTGAGGCTCACTCTCATTATCCGCTGCCAAAAGAGCAGCTCCAGGATTTGTCTCCTCGTTGCGTCATCAAAAGGCTTTTTTTTGCCATTTTGCCTCACACAGGGAGCCACTGGCTTAACAGCTGAACCAGCCAAAACCACCAGATTACATGTCCTGATTCTCCACTGCCAGAGATCAGCATATGGCAAATCACCTTCAGATACTAGGCGTCCCTGATACTACTGAGGACAGACAATAAACAAGAAAAGGTGTTTTAGAAAAGTACTAAACAAGGTAAAGCAGTGCTTTACAGGTCTATATTATCTTCATTTCCCAGAAATTTCTTCTTAACCTTCCTCAAAAGAATGTAGTCATTTTGTACTAATTAATAATTTGTATTTTGGTTGTTTTGTCCAACCAATAGTTCTCAAACCTTGAATGTAAAGAGTAAAAATGCACTGGTGAAAACAGTTTATTTCAAGAAAACTTGTTTTCTCTGTAATTAGGACCATTAGTACCATAAACATTTAACTGCCTTAGAATTAGTCCTGTAGAAAAACTAAATTCCACACCCAAATGAAACCACCTCCAAACTGATCTTGCTCAGATACCAGTTAGGGAGGCAGGTCTGACAGACGAGATGGATGGAGAGGTGGACAACAGGGGACACCCAGGCCTGGAGCTCTGGGGAGACGGGGGTCCCCATGAAGGGCCCACTCCCCCTGCAGGCTGCAGCAGAGGCTCCTGGTTCTTTTCCTTCAGGCATTTCTCCAGGGACAGTCGCAGAAGGTCCAGCTTCTGGGAGGACTCCTGCACCCGGGACTGAGCCTAATGGGGAGATGCACACTCTGATGTTTGGTCTTTTTAAAAATAGTGCTGCTTGGTATTTTGGGATACGGTGAGACTTTAATTCAGACTGATGAGTCTCGCTTTTATTTTGTGCTTTTATAACTAAACAGGATCAAAAGCTCGACATGAAACTGTAGATTTCGTGTTCTCTGTAAATCCTTTAGATATTACACCTGCGATGTGTTAGCCCAGTTTATATTACTGGGTTCCACTGATTTCTATGTGAGATAAAAATCAAATGGCTCATTCTCGACAACGGTTTGTCTGCCTCCATTTTTGTCACATTACAGACTAACACTGTGCAGATGTTTTAAATAAGTCTGACCTTAAACTATGGCACCACACAGAAATTATTCCTCAAAAATAATACAGGGTTATGGATTACATGGATCCGATGACTATTAATGGAGGTTAATAGAAAATTCACTGGAAACAGTTCAGCAGTAACACCGTGTTAAGTACATGAGGGTAAGAAAAACCCTACATATGGCTATGATCAGTGTGGAAAACATTTAATCAATTACAGTACTTAAGCACAATTTTGAGGTATATGTACTTTACCTGAGTATTTCCAGGTTCTGCTACTTCATATTTGGACTTTGCTACCTGTCAGAGACGAATTGTGTACTTTTTACTGCACTACATGTACCTGATAACTTCAGGTCCAGAATCAGATGAATCAAACCAAACCCAGTAGAACCATCAGACTCTATTGATCCCAGTGGGAAATCCACCAGCTACCCAGCAGGATGGAAAGTACTTCACAGTATAAGTATATAAGGTAGTTACCACCAGCTCCACCTTTACCAGCTGCAGCATTAAAGTGATGGACATAAAATTATATCAATTATTATAATCTAATAATATATATGATTGTGAACTGTGCCAATCTGCAGAGCAAGTACTTTTACTTTTGATAGTTTAAGTATATTCTAACATTTTGAATCTTGTAACAGGGTATTTTTATTCTGTGGTATTGCTACTTTTACTTAAGTAAAGTATCTGAGTATTTCTTCCACCACTCTCTACAATTTTTACAAGAAAATGACGTAGGGGTAGAGCAGTGAACATCAGCTCCACTCTGAAACAGACCTTTCCCTTTAGCTACAGGTTGTTAAGACTGCAACACCTGTGTTTTGTTTTATGCAGGTTTCCGACTTGGTAACATTAACTACCTTACACACCTGAGTACTGCCACCCAGTGTCTGTTACCCTGTGTTTAGATTGTACACATAAGAAGAAGTATTCTGGCTCGCCTGAACTCGAGCTACCTTAAAATGAAGTTTTTTCAGGGTCCTACCTCAGCCAGAGGCTTCTGATCCAGTGAGGAGATCCCGTCTAGTTGCTTTACCACATCTTTGGCCAGTACCAGTGCATCTGTCTCTCTCTGCACGTAGTGCTGCAGCTCTGCCAGACGAGCATCCACACGACTGACAGCGACCAGAGGGATCTCTGAGACAAGAAGAACAGAGAGAGAACGGCAGTATTAAGAAATTAATTAGAGCCGAGCGACATACTGTATCATAGATCCTCACTGAAACTCTTTTCATTCCTGGTATCAATATTTATAAAGGCCAAGTGAGCCCTTTTCTCTAAAATGTCACTGTGCTCCAGGCAAAGGTCTTAACATTACACTTTTTATGTTTCTGGCATTTAGCTGACACTTATCTGATATGTAAGAAAGCTCTAAAAGTCAAGATAAAAAACCCTTCACCTCTTGCTAAGTTAATATAAGAAGACAAGCATAGGAGCGAGAAGCAGTAAGATCATGTGACATCCTTTGCATCCACAAAAAGATTCCTAATTGTTTCTCTTGCTGTTTAGAGCTTTGTAATAATGAGCTATTAATGAGTGTAGTTTGAATTTTATTTTGTAAATACTTTTCTAGGTTGCTGGGGGATTCTGCACCAAACAGCATTTTCTGGACTGTCAGCATGTTTATATGGTCTCTGTATGCAGTACGCTCTTATGGGAAACAGTGGAACACATTCATTTTCAAAATAACTTCTTTTGATCAAGTGCTGCAAATGAGCATATGGTGTGAAAAATGAGAGATGTACTGTGATCCATGGAAAAAACAGCAGTTATTTCATCTTTATTTTGATTCATTTCACTTCCACGTGAAGCTGAAAACTGTCAATAAAGCAGCAAGTGTCACAGAGTGTTGTGTACCCTAATATATTGACATTTGCTTTTGCAGGTTTAGCAAACACGTTGACACACGGTGAATCAAACTGGCTGCCACAGTAAAGAGGGCTTCACTTCCCTGAAACATTCTAAAGAGTCAACGAGAGGAAAGGAGGTGAAGGGTCAGGGTAAGGGAATATGACCTAAAGAAACAGGGTATAGAGTTACCTGTCTTATATTTCACACTCTTGCTTTGCAGCCTTGTAAGTATCACTTTTCAAATTAGAATTAAGAGTAATATTTACTCTCCATCAGCACAGTCAGGGTGGTTTCACTTTCTGCATTATACAAATACCACCCACAAACATGACAGTTGGCAGGAAGCACGGTTCAACCAATATGGCTGTTTGATACCAGCACTGATATTCTGAGGCAAATGTTCTACTACAGCATCTCTGAATGTGACATTTTTCAGACCAAAGCCCTGCCCCTGCTCACAGGAAATGCTTTTGAAACATCATCTAGATCGGTCTGGTGACACTAATACTTTAGTGTACTACTACAGTAATACATTATTTTCAGCTTGTCAAGCTGTACCTCCTCAATGAGATTACTTTTCAGGAAAAACACTACACTGATGTTGTATTATTCCAATATGTTGCTGTTATTTATCATGTTTTCACATCTTGTTCCTGACAGATTTCTGCTTTACTGAGCCAGATTACTCCTCTATATTTTAGAAAATCTGACTGTAACCAACAAAGTGTTTCAAGGATGTGACGGTGTTGCTGTGGTTGCTACTGGTGCCAGACAGAATCTGATGCCTATAATAAATGATTTACTGCCTATTTCTAGTTCATTTACATACTAGAAGGAGCTCAGGGGCTATGAATACACCTCATATTTGAAATAGTGGCATAAAAATATGACAATTTATGTAAATACACCTTCATGTACAGCGCATCATTCTGTGACCCTGTAAGGGTGTCATGGCCCAGAAGTCTGACCTCCATGAGTGGAGTTATTATGACTGCCACTGCCAACGCCAATGCCACTGCTGCCAGCCTGGGTGACTTTAATAATCTGCAGTCGGATCAGCTCGATCTTGGAGCGGCTATCCTGGAGCATCTGCTGAGCTGTGGACAACATCTGATCCTGGATAATGACATCACATCATGAGACAACAAGCCCCACTTCATCACCACACTGCTCCCTGACAGGTCAGCTGGGACCAGAGCACATTCACAAACACAGTGACAGAATACAGACACAGTTGATCAAAACAAGTGGCAGAATGTGAGGAGATCATCTGACAGTGCTCCACACACAACTCTTTTCATTACTGGGTAAAAACAAGTGCCAAAGAAGAGAAGGGATAAGTGAGAACAACATGTTCAAATCAGGTGTAAACAGTATGACTTTGCACTTCACTAACCTCAGGGTGATGCTCTCGCTCTGTGCTGAATAAGGACTGTCATCCACTGTGGAGGTGGAGGGGGACTTCTCAGGTTGCACCTCTCCACCTTCACTATCCTTGAAACACAACAAGTCCTGTGATGTTATGGTGCATTTACACACACACACACACTGGCTGAGGGCTCATCTGATGCAGCTCCTACATCCTGAGACCTGGATCACACAGCCTGTCCTCTTGTTTGTTTCTGCCTCCCTGAAGCCTCCGCTGCAACATGCCCTTGCTGCTGCATCCTCATCCTCTGATCTGTAAACAAATCCCCCCACCCCTCTGTCTCTTTTAGGGGAATTTCATTCTGCAGGGAGAAGGCAGAGTTCCTCTCCAGTGCCAGCACTGCTGCTGGTGCTGCTAGTGTGACAGTGCTGATCTCCTGCTCGTGCTCGGCATTGGCTGCTGCATGACCACATGTTCCTGTGCTGTCACCGGCCAACAGACAAACAGAGCTGCTGCTGCTGCTCTCTTTGGGACAAGGCAGAGACCACCCTTAATCATGTAAGAGATTTGTTTGACATACTCAGTCACAAAGACGGTGTCAGAGACATTCATATCCATTCTGATAGTGTCCAACATACATCCAGAGGGTGGGACATGTAGAAACAGCAGCAGGTTTACAGAGAGCACTGTGAATTTCCACTGTGGATGTTCCCCCGTTCTACATGCTTACTTCTTGTCTGCAAACAAGCATACATGACAGCTCTGCGGTTGTTGTCTTCAGTGTTTTCCAGCTTCCTGGTGCCCTGTCAGATGACAGCGGATATTAGTGGGATGAAGGTGACAGGCTGATGATTACAATACATTAATGTATGAGTTACATGTGGACATAACTTGAATACACTGTCCTTCCTGGCTGTATTATTTAATTAGGCTAACACACCTCAATTAGCTTAACTGTATTAGCTGTTAGCTACATGCTACTGCACATTACCTCAGATAAAATACCTGCTGGAAGCAAACTGACTGACCGGCTAATGTTAATTAAATGGCATTCGGCACCAACTGGTTGGACTCGCAAACAAATTAATCTCTAAATCTATAAACAGAAAGCCATCAAAATGTGCGTTACACATTTGAATACACTGTAATTCCTCGATTATTTGGCAAATTAAGACAAACTGCACTCTTAAATAAGACTTTTACCCCTCCACTAGATTCATGAGTTTCCTCAGTCTAATCTAAAGCTATTTATACATGGCCTAATCAACACTGAAAGGGAGTATGCAAACTACTGGGCATAACCTCGCCGAAAATGTCCAGTTTATTTGGTCTTTTCTTACATAAAACAAACAATCATCTTGAGTTAAACTGTAACAAACACGATAATTAGCGGTGACCACTAGAATGAAGCTCCTACTTCCACTGACATTCTGCATCTTTATAAGTGCGCAAGTGCGAACCGGTCCAGCTGAAGCTGTGACCTGGTCTGAATAAACGTAATTATTTGGCGGCAACAAATTGAGAAATCGTTTATAGGATAGGTATACGTAATAATCTAAGGTTTAGTTCATTTGGGGGGTAATTTTAAGAGGAGAGAGAGCAGTAAATGAGCACATTGGAACCAACTAGTGAGACCTATTTTGAGAGGCGGAGCTCGTCTGTGCTTCATTCGGCTCGGCGCGTTCGTAATGAAAGGAGCGCGTGAGCGGCGCTTGCTGTGACTTCCTCGCTCTTCGGCAGCTACATTGTGTGGAAAGCAGCACGTTGTTGGTTTCTGCACGGTGAACTTTACGCCGAATTAACGTTCTCCTGTTTAGGGAGAAACCTGATTTAAAGCTACCAGATATTCTCTCAGACGTCTGTAAGTTACCCCAGCTTACGAAAACATGTCGGCCTCGGCGGTAAAAGTGAGTAAAAAGGAGCTGAACTCAAATCATGACGGAGCGGACGAAACCTCCGGTAAGGGGAATGGCGGCCTTCTATTCACCGCCATTTTCACTTTCTTCTCTGACATAATTTGCATTGCGAATGGGTGCAAATTTGTTAATAATTCTGTTTATGCTTTGATTTTGCTTAACGCATTTGAACCTTCTTTGTGGGTGACCAGTGGTTGTTGCGTGTCTTCTCAGCAGCTAGCTCACCAGCTAACGCATTTATTAGCATGCCGCTACTCTACCCTGCTGTTGTTCAGTTCAGACCGGTGCTGAAAGGCCATGTTAGCTAGTTACTTTAGCATCATCAGCGTGGTCAGTTATGTCGTTGGCTAATGACTGAGTAGCTGTACGTGATGTTGTCGGGTCAGTGTTGTATGTGCTGTTGTATAATCACCTAAAATCGGCTAATCCTCGTTTACATTGCAATTATAGTGGTAAATAACCGTAAAACTTGCCAGTTTTATTTGAACATTAGCAATTAGCTAGCTAGCGTTGTTGTAGTGTTACCTAACGCTAGCTGACGACGTTGTTTTGTTCCTGGCCAAGATGCATTTATAGCCATCGGTCACGCGATCACTTAAACTAGGTTGTTATTGTATTTAGAAAACTGGATGTGGGACTGTCGTACGAGCTGGAGTTTGCCAGTTATATAAGGTCTATTCTAGCACCTGTCTTAGCTCGAGGTCTCACGTTATCACTGCTCTGTGTGTGCACTTAGATGTCCCACATTTAAACCACGCGGCCTTGTCGGTAGCAGCCGGCAGGAAACGGCGAGTGTCTGAGCCGCTAGGGCTGCAGCTATTGGCCGCTAAAACTATCACAATTTCGAGGCGAGCTCGGCTTTAATTTGCCAGATTACCTATCAACTGCGTTATCTAACAATTATTAATAGTGGGCTATGTATAAACAGCGAAAGAAAGTGGAATAGCAAAACATTCAATGGTTAGACCTAAGTCATTTTCGTAAACTTAGTAGCGGGTATTTTAAAAGTGTCCTTGGCTTTTTTTGGGGGCCCAGTACTTACTACCGCTGCCTTTAATTTTAAAATTCTGCATATTTTCTAACTTATTCATTTTTTCCTTGCAGAGAAAGAGCAACAAGAAGCTATTGAACACATTGATGAGGTTCAAAATGAAATTGACAGGTAATAATTTAGTCAATTCAGACTTGGTCCTTTTTTGTCCAGCTGAAAAGTCATGATTAAGCTAATAGATATTTTAAAAGAACTCCAATGCTGAAATATGTTTGGCATGAAGGTCTGCAGAATTCCATCCTTCTGTTGTGCACTAAATATAATTGATCACATACAGAACAACTAAAATACATAAATAGAATTGTTATGGTTTTGGGGGGGGTATGTGGACACTACTCAGTCAGAATTTTTCCTTTCTTTCAGGTTGAATGAGCAGGCCAGTGAGGAGATCCTCAAAGTAGAACAGAAATACAACAAACTCCGTCAGCCATTCTTTCAGAAGAGGTCAGAACTGATCGCCAAAATCCCCAACTTCTGGGTCACCACGTTTGTCAACCATCCACAAGGTGAGCAAAGGCACCAATAAACTATGGACATATTCTGTCACCCTGACAAAAGTTGGTATGATTTAGACAGAGACTCAAGTTAACCTAGTCTGTCTGATCTGGCCTCCCTATAGTATCTGCCCTTCTTGGGGAGGAGGATGAAGAAGCGCTTCATTACCTGAGCCGAGTGGAGGTGACAGAGTTTGAAGACATCAAGTCAGGCTACAGAATAGATTTTGTAAGTGCTGTAGTGTCACACACATGAAACTCAAAGGTGCGGGCTGTTTGATTTGTTCTTACCTGGTGCATTTTGTCTTCTAGTATTTCGATGAAAATCCGTACTTCGAAAACAAAGTACTTTCCAAAGAGTTCCATCTGAATGAGAGTGGAGACCCATCTTCAAAGTCAACAGAAATTAAATGGAAGTCAGGAAAGGTACGTGCCTCTTCCTATGTTTGTCACCAAAGTAAACTTGAGGGAAGATGTGACTTGTTTTTACCTGTAACCAGTTGGGTAGTATTTGTATCTCATTCAGAATGTTTAGAACTTTGCATTTTATCAGTTTTGACACAAACTGAGTTAGAGTGGAGCTCTGACCACTTTGTTTCCTGAGCTACTGTGCTAGCAAACCTGCAGAATCTGACTCAAGATTTTGCTTACTGGTCATTTTAAAGTTGGATGTGTTTTTGTGTGTTTGTAGGACCTGACCAAGCGCTCCAGCCAGACACAGAACAAAGCAGGACGGAAGAGGCAACATGAAGAGCCAGAGAGCTTCTTCACTTGGTTCACTGATCATGCTGATGCGGGTGCTGATGAGCTTGGGGAGGTCATCAAGGATGACATCTGGCCAAACCCTCTGCAGTACTACCTGGTACGTTTAGGACCAGTGAACTCAGTAGTTCTGTATCATTTTATGTGGCATAAATTTCCCTGTAGCTGCCGCTTCCACAGTAAACACATCTTTGAGTTTATTTCAACTTTGTCTTTCTGGGAGTGCCAGGCACGCTGTTTATCTTAAGTGTAAATGAAGGGCAAAATGCTGAAAGTGATTATCTCTAGGTTCCTGACATGGATGATGAAGAAGGTGAAGGTGAGGATGATGAAGAGGACGAGGAGGGTCTGGAGGACATCGATGAGGAGGGAGATGAAGATGGAGAGGAGGATGAAGAGGATGAGGGAGAAGATGGAGAGGTAAAATGGTCAAAGTTGAGAAAACCGGTGTTAAGTTTGTAAACACTTGCTGACTGTCTGTGTCACTCCTTCAGGATGACGAGGGAGAAGATGACTAAGAAATGACATCCACCCAGATCCTCAACCTTCTATTCCTTGTCTGGTTTTCCACTCATATTCGGGAGCAAAGGTTTTATTATTATTGGGGGGCAAAGGTTTTTATATTTTTCTTTTTTTTTTTTTTTTTTTAAATCGGTGCGTGCTTCATTTTTCCATTCTGAAGCCTCTTCACCTGTTTGTGCCATGTTCTGTTCTCCTTCGACTTAATCTAAGGCCAATGGCACTTTGCTCTGAATTGTGAGTACCATCCCCAAAGTCATCTTAAAGTATAAAAATAGAATCAGCACGGCATCCTGAGTAGAATTTAAAGACAATTCACACAGAATTCCTCCTGTTCAAGGATGTGTGGTAAATTGACAAAAGCCATGGTGTAGTGACCTAGCACTAGCAGCCTCTCAAAGGTTTTTTTTTTCCCATATATAATTTTCCTTTTTCAGTTGGCGTGTTGATTGTTGAAGAAAAACCTGTTGTTTTCCCCAATGTTGCTAACGAGTACCAGCTCATTCCTTTGACTTGTAATGTTTTGGGGCTGGGGAGGGGCAGGAGTATGTTGGTTACTGGGGAGAGTGGTTATTTTGACATTTCTATGGGACTTTTTTTTCATTGTATTGTTTTACAGATATCCATGAGATTTGAATGACATTTTTAATAAAGGACAAAAAGGAAAAAAAAAGCTTGTAAATTTTGGCCCCCACTGCTTCATGGGTAAAAGACCTGTTATCTCCATAGAATTTACATTTAATCATCCTTTCCTTTTCTGATGGGGGGAAAACAGTTTTAAATTTGAGGTGTACAACTTGCTTTGGTACAATAATAAAACTTAATGTGTATACATGTGTGGGAGTCTTCAGACCAAGTGGGTGCATAAAAGTTTATTTAAAAACTGGAGTTGTGTAGCAGCAGAGGCACCTGGGTCAACTACACAAGACAGAATTCCTGTTAGCTCTTGAAGGATTTTGGAGTCATTAGCAAGCTTGAAGCAAAGTCTTCTGTTAATAGTCGATGGGCGATTAAAGCCATGAAGGTTTGTGCCGACTCCTCAAATCTGGTTCTTGTTATGGTGTCCGGCCAGTCGCTGGGCTGGAAGGCCCAACCTGCAGGTAGAAACAAAAGGTGGTGTGTTGAGATTATAAAAGCACTGCGCTACATCAGAATAGAGCACATGAATTCATAGCAGTGGAAAATATGTTGGCATGACCATGAAATCCTTGTCTTCTATTTGCCCAGTGTACGCAGCTAGTTTGTTTTAGATTAACTTGTCACTTCCAGTTTGAGAAACTTTGATGGTGATTAACTGTAGCACAATAACTATATACAGTTACTTAAATTACTTGGTTTATATTTACTATACTAAATTGTGACTAACAAAGTGGCATAAATAAGATTTCTCAAGTTTTCATTTGGACTAATTTTCAATAATTTTGCAGATTTCTCCATAGTTTTGTTTGTCAGGAGAGGGCAAAAATGGCACATTAAAACTAACTGTACAAACGCCACCATATTCAATTTCTAACAAAGTAAAGCAGCCTCACATGCAAGTTGTCTCTTAAATATTTTATTTACAAAACTACTTCAGTGAGTACTCATTCTCATTTTCTGCCAGGCGATTGCTTGGTTAAGATTTTGCAATATGGAGATAATAGAGTGGGCACAACTTAATTGAATAAAATAGTTTTAACAGATTTAATAGATTGAATCCTGGTGACAATATTTCAGCAGAATTATTCAAATATAGTTTAGCTTACTGAATTATTGCTCTAAACTAAAACAGCCATGATCTCAAATTAAAAAAGCTACCTTGGTGTACATAACTGATTTTTATCATGTTACTACTCGTATTAATAAAATGTACAAAATCCTCATTGTAAAATATTGCATGAAAATTTGTGTGAATACATATTTTGGATTAATTTGTTGATGCAATCTTAATCATATAGTAGATGCTGATTACCAGATACCGAACCTTAGTTTTCAGCGCAGTGATTTCTGTCCAGTCACAGGACACAGGAGTGCTCTCAGTAAAAGCGGAGTTGTTTTACAATAGGTTAAATCTTAATCATATAGTAGATGCTGATTAGTTGTTTTACAATAGGTTAGAGAATTGACAGATGTGTAGGCTACTTGAGTTTTGCTTCACTGGGGGTTCGTACCCACCTAAATGAGCATTACACCGAGGACAGGTGGCCACCGTCCACGAGAACCCCGGGAACCAAGAGAAGTGTTTATCTGCCGGCCAGTGCTGGGTAACGTCCGCTTTTCTGAATGTTATCACCTCAAACTGGTGTCCGTGGGGGTTTTCGAAAAGCTGGACGTTAACCCTTCGGCCCCCAAGAAGCGTGCTGTTGCGGCTGGAGAGCGCAAGCCGGCTGGGAACGAAGTGTATGTCTGTTCCGACCGCCAGCTCGTGTCCGCACGCCCTGCACAGTATCAGGGTGTCAGTGCTGGTTCCCACCTCCTCCGCCGCGGCGGCACAGGCTTCCCCGGGCCGGTATGCAACGGGATAAAAGAGGAGGATAAAGGAAATATACTGTATTAATAATCTCTCCAACTGCGTCACCAGCAGCCGCAGGATCCGTTTGCGATTCATTGCTGCTTCGCACGCACAAAGGCTAATCTGCTAGCTGAAACTGCTAACGCTAACTAGCTGAGTTTTTAGCTGAGGCGGTGCATCGATGTTTGGTTATCAAATACCAATCACAAGCACAACAGGCTTACCACTTATATATGTGAATGTCAAAAACTTGCAACGTAAACATACTACTAAGTTATATGGTGATTAGTGGACTTTTAAAGCGACTAGCTAATCAATGGAGCGTTACCTAGCTTTTCAGGCTAAGCCTACCAAATGTTCGGAAGTGCCTTGGAAAACAACAGGAAACGCAGTCATCTCAACCATTTCCTACTCCAACTGCCTACACAGCAGTTACACGACTGTGTCGTTACCTATTGCATTTGAGCTATGTTTTAGCTACACTTGAACTGTACAGAAACATTTATGTACAATTCGCGGTGTGGCTATTGTTTTGGGTTTCATGGCGCTTGTTGAGATTGTTTTGTGTTTTATTTTTTAAGAAAGGTGACTATTAAGACTCATCAGTGGTGGAAGTACTCAGATCCTTCCTTAACTGAATGTAGCAATACCACAGTGTAGAAAATAACAGTTACAATAAAAATCCTGCATTCAAAATGTTAACTGATAAAAGTACAAAATTATTGATATAAAAATATACTTGAAGTAGAAAAAGTAAAAATTGTTTACTTATTCTGCAAAATGAAACATTTCACATTATGTATATTATGTTACTGGAATATAATTACTGTTGCATGGTTGTCATTAATGTTACAGCTGGTAAAAGTGGAGCTGCTGTTTTGCTGCCGCTCTGTATTGCTGCTGGACACAGGAATTTCCCCATTGTGGGATCAATAAAGTCCTACCTATCTACCTACCTACCTACCTAATATGTACTACCTTGTATACTTGTATAATTTGAAGTACTTTATATGGGTAGTTTGTGAATTTCCCACCCAAGATCCATTAAGTCATATGATAATACCATATTTTGTTTTATATATTTGATTCTGAAAAGTAGCTAATTAAAGCTATTAAATGCAAATAGTGCAGTAAAAAGTACAAGGTTTGTAAGTATGAACTAGCTGAAAATTGAAATACTAAAGTAAATTACGGGTAATTCAAAAATTGTAGGCCTATATTACTTGAGTATATACAGTGGGTACGGAAAGTATTCAGACCCCCTTAAATATTTCACTCTTTGTTATATTGCAGCCATATGCTAAAATT